GGCGGGACCACACCGTGTCTGGGTGGTCCCGCCGCCCACGTCCTCCACAGCGAGGAAAGCCCCGCTCGTATGTAGGGATCCATCCTAAGTCGGATCCACGTAACTCAGGGACTGCCTGTATTCTGGAATATCCTCTGCTAATCCAGCATTCTCTGCTCAAATACCCAACCGCACTAAGTGCCTACATCTATTTAAAAGAACACATTACACATCAATAGGTCAATGGAGGGATGATAGGAGTTGCTATAGGGAACTTTCTGGGTGTCTGGCTGGTGAGTCTTGCCCACATGCTCAGGGTTTAGCTGATCGCCATATTTGGGGTCGGGAAGGAATTTTCCTCCAGGGTAGATTGGCAGAGGCCCTGGAGGTTTTTCGCCTTCCTCTGTAGCATTGGGCACAGATCACAGCTGAAGGACTCTCTGCATGTTGGGTCCTTCAAAGTATTTGAATGCTTCAATATCTTTGATATAGGTGAGAGGATTATTCTAAGAGGGGTGGTTGAGATTCTGTGGCCTGCACTGTGCAGGGGGTCAGACTAGATGATCATAATGGTCCCTTCTGACCTTAAAGTCTATGAATCTATGAATCACTGTGCAATGCAGAATTTTGCAGCAACTAATACTGTGTGTGCAGAATTCCCCCTCTCCCCCCTGCACCCAGAAATGGGCTGCAGATACTGGCCACCACTAGGGGGCTGCTAGTCCAGGCAGAGCCCAGCTTGCAAATAGAAGACAAAGGAGGGGAAGGGGCAGGGGGAGAGAAGAGAAGTGGGAGGATTACCCACAGCTGCAGTTCCCAGAAGCCCTGGGGAAAAGAAAAAAAGAAAAAAAAAGGCAGGGTCGCAGGCAACGCCATAAAAGCCTATGATGTAGCACCATACACTTTCTCCCTCTGGATCCTTGGGCTCTAAGAGAGTCTGGGCTTTTGGGGGGGGGGGGGGGGGACTGACTGGAAATGTTAATCTTTTCAATCCATGTATGGATTTTTTTCATTCATGTGTGGAATAAAGTTTTGTGCACACAGAGGCATGTGTGAATGTGTACCACCAATAGAAAAAAAACTAGCTGTGGGTGCTCTGCTAATCAGCTGGGTGGAATTAAGGTTAAGGACTAGTAGACTATCCAATAAGCAAATGCTTATTGGGTAGTCAACTAGTCTCTTCTCTTACATCCCTAGGTCAATGAGGTTTTGGGGGTTTTTGAGGCTCAGTGGTCCCTGGCCTAAAATAGATTCCCTACTCCTGCTCAAATGCTTACTTCAAACAGTTAAGGGTGAAAAACTCAAAGCCCCTTTTCCACATTAGGATTTTACTTCATCTTCATTAAGATGCAATGCATATCTACATGTACTGTGCTGCAGCTGCACTGCTATAGCACTTTAGTGAACATATTACCATGCTGACACGCAAACTCTTACGGTCATAAATTAATCCATTTATCAGGTAAGTATACTGGAGAGCTCTCAACCAACTGTCTAACCCAGCTGTCTAAATCAGAGGCTAGGCTGCTATAGCTACAATGCACGAGGTGTAGATTTTTTCCACACACCCTTGAGCGACTTAAGTTTCTAATGCTGACCCGGTCATAGTAAAAACACTTCTAGTATGGACACACCCATGATCACTGCACTGTCATGTGTTTACATACATTAAGAGCTCAGTCCAACATTAGCTTCATACATCAGTGAGTTAATCCACTTACAGCGAAGGCCAGAAAACCATCCATCATATCTGGTCTGACCTCCTGTGTCACCAACACCATCTAGCCTTCCAGACACTAAAAACAATAACTGAAGTTAAAGCAAAGTATTACAACCTTCAGGAGACTTAACTACTGTGTGCCAGAGAGAATGAAAGGAAGCAGTATGCACCTACTGGCAAGGCCCCTGCACAAGCAAGGAATGATTAATTGATATATACACAGAATCTCAGCAAGTGACATGAACGCCAGACTGTAAAAAAAAAAAAAAGCAAAAGCACCCAAGGTTACGGTCAATCTAACTTGGAAAATTCCTTTCCAAACCCACTTATCATAGTTAGTTAGATCGTGAACATGTAAGCAAGAACCAGCAGGCAAAACATATACAGGTTGAACCTCCCTGATCCAGTACCTTCACTTACTCCAAAATAATGCTGCTGCGTAGACATATCCTAAGAGTCATTGTGGAGCGGGAGAGGAGTGAGAGAGAGAGAGAGAATCTGATTTTAACAGAGAAAACTAAAAGGGGTCCAAGGCTGCAAAGCCTGTTC